CCAAATTCTGAGTTGTCTTTCCAAACCACACCGGGATTTGGTGCCTGAGGTCCAAGGGACACCTGCAGGGCTCACATTCCCCTGCCTGGGCTCTCTCCTCCTCCTCTTGGGATCCCGCTGCCCACTCCTACCCATGGCTTTCTGGTTACCTCCCTTCAATGGGGCAACTTTCAGTTTGGAGCCATTCTTTTTCCTTATCATTTACTTATTGAGCAGTAGCCACCCTGTCAACCCAGAGATGCCCACAGAACAGCCCTTAGTTTCCCATCACCCGCCTCATTGGAAGTTTGCTTATAACCAGAGTTACATTCCCTAGTTTTTACCGTGGAGCCAGCACGGAGCCACGGGCTCAACCCTCACAATCATATGAGTTTAGAGCCGAAGCGGGTGCAGGGCCATCTACTTCAACTTCTTAGTTCACAGATGAGGACAGGGATGGGAGGCATTAAGGACTGACTCAGGTCTACCGTGGGGATGTCCGGGAAGACGTTTCAGAGCCCTGTGGCCACCAGGGACAAAGGTATACTTGGCCCCATCCCCCTCCTCTTTCACTGTATGTGCCTTTTGTTCATCTTTGGCCCTTTGGGCAGATAGAAACAATCCATTTCTATTTTTGCAAGAGCTTTGTGACCCAGAGAGAAAGAGCTTTACCTAAATGAACAGGTGAGTAAATATGTCTGAGAGAAGGTTAACAGTCTTTATGCTCTTGTACCACACGCGGGCCTCTCTCTCCTCTCCTCCCAAGTTCATTCTCCCTAATCTGCACTGAAGGGTTCTCTGATGCCTAAGAGGTCAGCTGATAGGGATTCGGGAGATTTATATAACAATAAGGAACTCTTGAAGGCCAAAGAATTCTCAAGACTCGAAGGAATGTAGTTATGAAAGTGGAAAATTAAACTCACTGCTGCTAAATTTCCACCAGGCCTCCCCCAAACCCAAAACTGTGCCGTGTTGGGTATGCAGGACCCGGCCAAACGCAGCTGACTTCCCAGAACACACCACCGTGTGAGCACCTTGCAGAAGGGCTTCCCCTACTCCCGGCGGTGTGGAGTGTGAGGCTGGGAGCCTACCAGCTCTTCTCAACCAGCTAACTCTTGTCACCTGAGATCAGAGAGGTGACATGATTTTCTTCAGGTCACACAGCTTCTGATGGCCGATCCAGAGCCTTTAGAAGCCTCTGGTCTTCCTTCTACAAATGGAGCCTGCTCCTCTCATCTCACTGCTCCTGGCAGATGTTTCGAAATCAGCTGTGACCTTGGATCTCAATGGCACCAGATCAGGAATCAGTCCTCTGGGGAGGTAGGTTTTGTCAGCACTGCTGAACTGACCCACTCTTACGCAGCCTTGTGTGACAGAGGACTCAAACCCACACATCGGCTCCTGTCATCCCCTTGTTCAAAATTCTTCAGGCCCATCCCGGCTCATTCAAGCATCCCGTCCAGACACACACGTGCTGGTCTACCTAAAGTACTGACTTTAAACTTGTAGGGGAAAAACACCTTATCATTACTTTTTTTATTTTACTTATGAAGAGAAGGAAAATTGAAGATACTACAGGAGCTTTGGCTCTTTCCGGCCATTGCTTCCCGCCAGGGTGGACCGAGTGAGTTCTCCTCTAACACTAGGGCTGCTATAGGGGAAGTACAAGGAGCACAGAAACAGGTTGACTGCCTCCAGACTCCTTTCCCTCTCCTGTAAGGGCACGAGGCCATCCCGAATCAGCTAGAATTTCCCAGACACACTGTGTGACTTCCTGCCCCCATGTACTCTCCCTCCTGGCGCCCCAGCCCAGCGAGTCTCAGCCTGGGCACTACTGACATTTGGGGCTGGATAATTCTCTGTCGAGGGGGGCTGTCTCATACAGCACAGCAGCATCCTCAGCTGGCCCTACCCGCTGGAGGACGCAACACCCCCACGTCATGACCATCAAAAACGTCTCGAGATCTTGCCAAATGGCCCCTGGGGAGCAAAATCACACCCAGTCCATAACCACTGCTCCACGAGAATAGGCTTCATGACACTTGTCTGTCGGCAAACCTACTCCTCTCTCATGCCTCAACCCAGACCTCAGGTCCACCGCGAAGCCTTCTGGACCTGTCCTAAGCAAGTTCTTTCCCTCTTGCTCGTTATCGGACCTTACAAATGCGCACCCCCATTTGGTGCTTATTCCATGGCTGTGAAATTGTCTGTCTTCCCTACCCCTCGACCTCTTGGAGTTTCTCGACCTCGAGGAGTTTATTAGACTGTGAATTCCTAGAGGTCAATGATGATCCCTCCAAATCTGTATTCTTAAATTCTCCGCCCTCAGCACAGTATCTCATCCACGGAAGGAGTTGAGGAAGTGTTGAGTGAATGCACAATCTGTCATTCCAGGCTGGTACGTTCTGGTGGTGACCCCTCAAAGACACATCCCAAATACCCTCTCCTCTAAGAACACTATGAAGCTCGGCCATTGGCATAATCTCAGCATCACTACATCACTTGATACCTGCTTGAAGAATAACTTTGCCAAAGGAATAGCCCAGATGTTAGTAATGGTCATAGTTTTAGTAGTAGAACAGGGATGGCCACCACCTGAGGGTCCTCTCCAGGTTCTGCCAGGTATTTTCACTCTAACTGCTGACCTTCATAACATTTCTGTCAGCTATGTCTTATTAGTCCCATTCTACAGGTGGGAAGAGTGAGGATCTGAGAGTTTAATTTGCAGATTCAGCATCCTGGTGGCCCTGGGATTAGATCCAAGGCATTTTGATTCCAAACACCAATCACTGCCCTGTCTTTGGTTTCCAGATTTTTATTGTGAAGGATGATTCTCAAAACGCCATCATTTAAAATCTGACCAGCCTCAGTGTACCCGATAAATGGGTTACTGAAGCCCTGCTGTGATCTGTGTCACATCTTATCATTGCAATGAACATCAAATTCTATCAAAATATGGAAAAAATCATTTTGATGCTGCATTTGCATATCCAAGGATTGGAGGATGGTTTGTATAATCAAATTATGTAGAGTTGTAAACAGGGAGCATCATTTAAATAGCTTACAAAATTACTTTGAAGATGCACATTAAAATCTAAAGAACCCAACGCCTCCAAGATCTTTACAAAAAGTTAAATGCTAATTGATTATGACAGCTTTGTCTTTATCACTGGCATCATTCTCCAGTCTACTGTGTCAATATCGCAGCTCAATGATCGCTCTACCCCCTATTCCTCTCCCGGCCACGTCTGTACCATGCTATAATCACAGATGGAATTTATGCACGACTGGCTTTTCCCCCCTCTCCCATAGTTGATCAAAAGGAGCAGCCTGGAAAAAAAAAAGAAACTAGAATTTGCTGAAATTCTGATTTCTTTCAGCAGTTTTATAGATTGTATGACTTATCTTTTATTGACTGTGCAAGATCTCTGGTCCCAGCATCTGTTTGTTGCATCTGTGGAGGAAGATAAATTCCCTTTTTTATGCCACTGAACCAAATTTAAGAGACAGATAACCAAACAGGTCTTAATAGAAAAGGAGCACAGCGTATTCCTCTTCCTCATCCTGGCTAGCCCCCGCCCAGTCTCCGGAAGGAGCAGAGGTGCCTCGCTAGCCGGCAGGGTCTACCAGCTTGGGGATGACAGCGTCGAAGACAACGGACCAGTCGGGCTGGGGGTAGGTGCCTTCCCCAGACAGGGGCCCAGGGGCTGTTGGTCATGAGCACAACCTTTTGGGAGGCTGCTCTGTATACATTTAAAAAAAGAAACCTTGCACTTAATTTACAATTTCTCGGACTTAAAGAATTGTGCCTGGTCACCCAGAGACATGATTATACATCACGGAACTTAATTATAATAATGGCTCCGGTACTCCAACTTCTTTAAAACCTCAGCTGTTCGATTCAGCCTCTTCAGCTCCATAACTGTTTATAAGATTAATAGACTCTGATGCATAATTGACTCTCCCACCTCGAGAAGAAAAGAGAGAGCATCTGATCCCAGCTTTCACAAAAGTACCACCCCTATAGCGAGATGGCGAATGCATTCGTGGACGGGTCAAGGTGGGGAGGAGAGGAAGAGCCGGGGAGAGGGGTCTGCCTGGGAGAAGGTGCTCTGGGAGGGTCCACAGTGCTCTTTTTCCTAGAGGCTTGACTGGACACTGTGACAAATAGACGGCTGCAGAGCCCAGGGGACCAGATCCAGCTCGGCAGTGGGCAGCAAAGCCTGGGCTGCAAGCAGCAGCAAGAACTGGGGGTCCCAACAAGGAAGGAAGGAGCAGGAAAGGGAAGCGGGTTCACAGAGGAGGCTTCCAGTTTGTGTCCAAGTCAGAAGGATGCCTGGGGCTACTTGTTCCCTTTCTGGGGGTCACAGAATGTTGTAGCAGGACCTGCAGAAGGACCCCCTCGGGCAGGACATGGGAATCCTACTTTCAAAGCAAATATGAGCTGCAAAGGACGGTAGGGCCCGTCTTGCTAAGTGCCAACGAACTCGGAGCCAGGGTGCCGCTAGTGTGGACCCCGGAGAGTCAGGAAATGCTTCTGGACAGAGCTGAAGGTCAAAGGAAACAAAGGCCTTGGATGAGGGGATCGGATTGGGGAGGGGCTGGATCCGGGCTCAGAGGCAGGACAGCTGACCTGCCAGGGATGGGACCAAGGGGGCCCGGGCTGGACCGGGACAGGAGCAGCCAGGCCCTGGTTTGGGTCTCCGGGAGCGTGCTCAGAGTTGCAACTTCCTTCTGATCCCAGACAGAACTTGCAGCAAGCAGGGCCCAGCCGCTCAGTGGTGACTTGAATAAAGGAAGTCGCACTAAAAGATGGAAATGGGAAGCCGAATTTGAATTGCTAGCTTATCTTACTACTGCCCTTCTTGTCCGTGCCTCTCCTCTTTGCCTTATTTCAGGTTCCAGAAAGAGACCATGTGACTGGCAGTCTTACTGAAGGAAAAGGAAGGCAGGGAGGGAGGGAGGGAGACAAAAAACCAAAACCAAAACCGACGAAACAAAACAAAACACCACCACCAAACCCAGCCAGAGCACAGAATGAGGGGAGACTGAATCAGAGAGAGGGCCATTTTTCTCCTCTTGAAGGTGAGGGACCTTGCACTGTCGTCTGAGGAAAGCCTGGACTGCTCTTCCCTCCTCAGGTTTGGGCTCCTCTCTCTTTGCCTTAAATAACTGCCCGGTAGCCGGACACCCACGGCATCGGCTTCTTCCCCAGCCCCTGGGAGACCCAAAGTGGATTGCAAAGATAAGGCTTATCTCTGACTCAGTTTTCCTCTTAACTGACCCCCAGATGACCCCGGGATGAGGAAGGAAGAGCAAGCTCACAGTAACGCGGCCATCACTCCCACGTGTGCTCGCGGGGGAACCTGGCGCAAAGGGTTAAAGCCGTATCGTGGACTTGTAAGCTTCGCTGTTGTGTGGACGTGACCTCACTCTTCCGTTCACCTCTAGGAGACACAGCATGCTTTTCAAAGGGTTTTTTACCGCATCGGTTGAGAGGTACCTGTGTACTTTCACAGTTAGATCCTTAGCATAAAGACCCCCTCCCCGCCTTGGAAACCCTACATTTAATCTCTCCTGTCACTTTCAGGGATAGAGAAGCAGGGCCCAGCAGAGAATGACCAGCATCAGTTTATTGACGTCTAAGAACTATTAACCTTTTGCAGAGAAGGGAAAAACCCCTCCGTGTATCTAGGGCCTCCTGGGTGCTAATTTGACATGGCAATGAGATAAAAGTTGGGCTCGGGCTGCTATCAACCTCAGCGGATCGGAATGCCGTCTACTTAGCATAGGAGTCAAACAATTCCCTGGCAATAGATTGCTTTCCACTTGTAGGTCTACTAAATAAATAGAAAAGTAATTAACAGTGCACTATGGCAGATGTATCAGGGGGAATTTCATTAGAGCAGAAGAACTGAGCCATTTCGTATCCCACCGTCCGAGGAAGCTTCCCTGCCGTCTCTAGGATGGATGTGTGATTTCTGCTTCTCTTCAAAAAATGGAAATTTCTAAATCTCCTATGATCTCTTCACATTGATCAATGGGAAAAGAAAAAGAAGCCCGTTAAGTGCCTGAAATCAGTCCACAAATAAAGAATTCCTCTCATTTTTCTATTAAATTATTTTGTTCCTGAAACCCATGGATGGTCATCTCTCTTTTGTGGGGGTATCTTTTTTTCTTTTCTTTTCAGTTTGCTCAATTATTAAATATCTGAATTTTGAAATGCTCACTGAATGTCTCATTATTATTATTCCTCCTTCCCTTTGGAAAATAAGTGGCTTTCAGTCATTTATAACAGCAGGAAGAAATGAAATTTCATAGGAAGGAAATTTATGCTGTTGGAAAAAGAAAAAGACGTTGAAGGCATTTATTTTTAACCGGCTTTTAAAAAATATATTTGAAAGTACTAAATTCAATTTCACATGTCCAGAATGGCATAACCTAATTTTAGCATATTAATTAACAATAAAAGTAGTGTTTTGCCTCATACAAAGAAATGAAATAATTAACTTACTGAGGAAATGGGGTCATATGATTTTACTTTGGGAGGGTAATGAATGACACTGAATAACGTTAGCAGAAAGGTTTTTTGCAGAGCAGTTCTGGCCGTTGGAGCCTGCTTGGAATTCTTTGTGAAACACCCAACAGCCAACAGTTTCCTCCGTCTCCAAATGTTACCTGTCTGGACCCAGGCTGAGCTGTACACACTTCAGTGAGGCGGGCCGGGGTTCCTCAGAAGGAATGCTGGGGGCAGGCAAGCATTTGGCGACTTTCAAGGAGGACTTGAGTATCCAAATGTTCCCTGAGTCAATAAACACTAAGGTGCTTTGTGCTTGTAGAAGAAATTCCAGCGTTTTTGTATTTTACATATTTGGACCTTTGAACTTGGCATATTTTGTCACACTTCACATAGCTTCATTCCCTTGGGGGAAAAGAACCCTAGTCTTTCAAGTGGTTATTATAAAGCTAGGCGCATAAATATGCATGAGAGGTCATTATTACCGCAGATGATACTTAAAAGGTTCAAGTGTCTCTTATTAAGATTTTTCAACTTGTTCAGTGACAGAAATCAAAGTCTCCAGCTTTTGGTTGCTGAACTTTGCCTTTGATTGTTCTTTCAAAATTTTCAAGAAAACGGTTTCAGAGCCCTGACTGGCACTCATTCGTTCATTCATTCATTCATTTGACAGATATTTAATGAGATAGTTAGTGCCCTGTGTCCATGTTTTATGCAGAACTCCATATTTAAAACATGCTAAGCTGGGTTTCTGAAGGTTCGGGCACAGAATTTCTAGATTTTGGAGCTGGAACTAAGGCCCCGAGAGGCTCAGTGCCTTGTGCCATGTCATGTTGCATCATACAATCAAGAGACTGGAAATCAGATCTGACCCCCAGACTCCAGAGCCCAAAGTAGAGAATCATCCTGGGAACCATGATAACGAAGAATTGCATTTTGACACATTCCTTACTTCTAGAACTTGATATTTCGGTGGAGAAATATTACATAGTGTTATCATAACCTTAAAAGCTCTTAAACATGACATTCCCATTCAGAATTAACTTCAGTTCAACCCTGTGCTTGTAGCAGATTCCCACTTGGAGAGGATAAAATGTTCATCTCCAGGATTAATTACCCATGCAGTCCCATTCTCCATGGGGAAAGGTGAAAAGGCAAAGGACACAAAAGGGAGCTGGAGAGAGGAAACCTTTCGCTCCCACCAGCAGCCTTGGCTTTTCCTTCTCTGTGGGTGGAAATATTGCTCAAGTAGTCCATGGGGGTCTGATGACTATTTTTAGTCCCAAATTAACAAAGAAAACGCCATTTACAAACGGTTTACAGAAGCAGTGCTTTCTTAAAACTTTGCTCCCGGGCTCTTCCCCCATGTCTGATTTACAGGCCAAATCTTTGGATAGGGAAGCAGGTGCAATCCAAGGGTGAGAGAGGCGAGCTCGCTTCCGTATGGATTCACGACGTGACAGAAGCACCTACATGATGTCACCCTAGGCTTTCCCTGAATCCTAAGGTTGATCTTGCTGAATCCTAAGGTTGAAGTTGCAGTAAAAGATAGTTGTGTGAAAGCTGGAGGCAAGCCCTTTCAACTTCAGGGTGAGCGGACAGTGAGTGCACACCCCAGCCACAGAGCTCCCCGCCACCGCCCCACCGGGGAGGAACATTGCCTCTGCCACCTAACTCCGGAAAGCTTTCCAAAGTTGGACTCCCCGCGCTCTCGCCTGTAGTTACCCAAAGCCTGCACATTCCAATATTGTTGTCTGTCCTACCCGTCACTAGCCAGTCATGTAGCCATGGGGATCAGTGCAAGGAGTGTGCACCCTGAGGCCCATTTGGGACTGAATCTCCGCTCCTCTGTGCAGAGCTCCGTGCAGGGGCTGTGGGAACCGGGACAAGCAAGCCAACTTGTCGGAGGCTCGGTTCCCTCAAATCCAGAGCTGGTGGTCTCCTCCTCACCTTGGTTCCCAGGATGATTCAGGCTAGAGGAGATGATGCGGTATGTTGGCTCCTGGAAGGTGCCCAGCCAAGGCCCATCTCTATGCTCAGCCTTCTAAAGACCCACCGAAGGGAAGAAGTCTTCTGCGTGTTTGCACTTGGTCATCCCCAAACACCCAAGAACCATTTCTCTTATTTGCAAGGCATTTCTGTACATCCTTTTATTGTTTTGTTGTTTTCTTCTAATGTTTTATTGTTTCATTATTTTAAGATTTATTAAAGCTGCCAATTTTTATAATAAAATTTCTGTTTGTACTGTTTTCTTCCTCCTACGTGGTGATTTGAGTTCCAAAAGGACATGCTTTTTCTTTTTCAACTTCCTTATCAATTCATTTTTTTAAGATTTATTTATTTATTCATTAGAGAGAGAGAGATCACAAGCAGGGGGTGGGGCAGAGGGAGAAGGAGAAGCAGACTCCCTGCTGAGCAAGGAACCTGACACAGGGCTCCATCCAGGACCCTGAGATCATGACCTGAGCCAAAGGCAGACGCTTAACCAACTGAGCCCCCAGGCGTCCCTCAGTTCATTATTTCATCCACCATAGAAACTCGGGAAGTTTGCTAACAAACAGAATGATCAAAAATGTCCCAAAGCCAGGCTTTTTCTTTCATTTTAAATTACTCACACAGTCTTCCCCAAGCCCCAGAATGGCAGAGGGTCAGGTGAGATCTGTCCCGTCTACACCTGGGTGGGCCACAAGAATAACCAATGCTAGAGACCCCAGAGACACAGGAACGACCAAGGAAACGACTCTGGCCAGACTCCTACCACGTGGATTTTCACTGTACTCTGGGCTGGCCCTAACCCTTTTGGAAAATAATTTCACAGTTCCCTGGTAACTTCCAGAAACTTTCAGAAAGTGCATACTTCCTGTTGGTGGTTCTGCACGTAGGTACTTTCATCTGAATGTTTGGCTCAGAATCTTGGTCCAGGTGTTGACCTCACACCTTTCACAAACGGCTTGCAAACACGCAGGTAGGTGTCTATCAGTGTCAGATTGGGTGAGTCTCACCCTGGACGTACATTTATTTATTCCCACATTTTACAGACTGAACGTTTTCTCATCTGCCCACCCTCACATTCTCCCGTTAGTTTTGAGTTATTCATTCAGCCGACATCTGCCGAGTTCCTCTGAGGCGCCAGGCTCTGGGCTAAACCCGCTTGCCTCTCGGCTCGTTCGCTAATTCTCAGCTTCCCGTCTTCCTTTTCATCCCTCAGGAGTGCTCCTTGTTCCTGAGCCCTGCGGTGCCCACACAGAATATAATATCCCATGACAGGATGTCTTTCCATGTGCAAACCAAAATAGCACTCGCCTCCGTGGGGCTGTATGCCTTTCTAAACTCGTACAGACATAGTGTCTAGCCTCACCTCTCACATGTTGTGGTCGCTTTGTGGCACGCATTGTGCAGTACTGTTATAGATCTAAGTTGACTTTTTTGGCTCCTTTATTTGTAAGCTTTGAATCCACTCATAGTTTTCCTCCTCACCACTATTTGAACTGCGTCCCTGGTGGGAAGTCAGATGCTCGTGTTTTGCAATCCATTTTCCTTCTGCTAACAAAGATGTTAAAGAAACTATACCGAGGCTTGGAAAGGGGGCCCTATTACATCCTAGGGAGGAAACAGTTTAGGTAGTCTCATTTTAAATAATGGGATCTCTTCTTAGAAAATGTAGAGCTGGATGAGGCCTGAGAAATCTCCTGGTCCACTCCCTTCCTTTTGTGGATGGAAAAATCGAGATTCAGAGCAGCCAAGTAACTCACCCGGGGTCCTCTAGACAGTGTGTACCTGAGTCAGGATTGGCATCCTGGCCTCCTGGCTCAATTTTAAGATTATCTTTTTTTTTAATTAAAAATGTATGTATAAAAGAAAGAATAAAAGCAATTTCTAGTGTCATGTCAATTTCCAGGGCTCTGTGGCACGGGCTCCTTCTTCCCGGGGATCGCAAATCTCTGATTAGCACTCTTTACTTCCTTAGGGACCTCTGAACCCCAGGTCTCTCTTCCCAGCATTTGCCTGTCCCCTACAATCACGGCATATCAGTGTTACTTTGTCATCGGTGGCCACCCCACTAATGTGGCCTGCCCGCCTGTTTGAAACCTTCTCTTGATTAGGGATTATGTTTTATTTTTGGACAACTCTTATTGTTCAAAAGTTTTCCTTCTACTCAAACAGATTCTGCCTTCCCTTTGCTGCCTTCACCGGGTCCATTTTGCTCTGCGCCCTTCAGAGGGAATTGGCTGGTAAGCCCGCAGTGCCCTGGGGCCTAAGGAAAGGTGGGAGCTGGTCTTTGGGGGTCTCCCCGGCCCATCCCCCTCCTGCTCCTTGATCACAGCTCTCCTGGTCCCCTGACCTCCCGCGGTTTGGTTCCTCATCCTATTTGCACTTTTCACTGAAGCTTTGTCATTAACAACCCAGTGGGACCGTCCTTCCAGCTTTTCCTTAAAGCTTTCTCTAGGGCGTGACCTCGAGCAATTCCCTCCAGGGTCCTGGATCTGGACTGTGCTGTTTGTAGCCCCCGAGTCGGGAGGCCTATGCCTCCTGCCCTATGCTTGTGCAGCCCCATTGGTTAGGGCATGATCTTCAGACTCCTAGTTCTTAGTTCTTCTGTCTGGAGTGGCACATGGTACATCTAATCCCTGCTAGTATTTTAAGAGTGTGATCTTATCCCTCTTGCATGATTCTGCTCCCCCTCCCATGCCCTGTTTTAAGGGATGGATA